GATTTTCCCATTGCTGTTGCATTGAAGTGAAACTGACAAGCACGGGGCATTCCAAAGCCAGCTACAATATGGCTGATTTTACTGCCCTGATAAAATAGCCTCTGGGGTAATAGTTACAGACAGTTGCCCCGTTTCATGCCCATTTGGCGACAAAGCAAAATCACACATCCCGTTTCTCACATGGGACGGTGCACTCCTGACTCCAGCCCCAAATGCGTTTTATGGACATTTCCCCCTTACTGTACAGATGGGTTAAATATTACATCAAAGCATCTTTAATGTTGTGCAGCGCCTCTCACGTTTCTGTGTGGTGTCAAGTTAAAAACTGGCGCGGGCTGCATTTTTACAGTAGATTTAATGGATCAATGTCTATAATCACATTAGCACTGGCTTAACATAGAACAAATTTGAGCGTACAGGCATCAAAGACAGAGCCCCCTGTAGTAATCGGCCATAGCATCTTGTCCTCAGCTGGAGACTCCTGATAAAGGGGAAAATAAAGTTGTCAAGGGGGTGATAAGTTGTGGGATATGCAGACTTCTGAGTACAAAGTGTGAGACAGAAACGTTTGTCATGAAGAACGTGCTTGCGTTGGTCAAATGAAAATATTGTAACAGCAAAATATGATTAGCCTACCCGTGTTGAAGTATAACTGACAGTTGTGTTGTCACGATACAAAAATTTCAAACTTGATTTTGAAACTAAGGAATAGACTTGATACTCAGTACTGATACTGATATCGCAATGAAAATTAAATGATAGTTAAATGAATAATTATTTCTTTAGATGATAGAATGTGATTTTCAGAATTAAATTGTAGTACTTTCTTTTATATTACCATGTGGTGTGATATGTATGTGTGATTCCTCAGTTCCAGGTATGTTCCATAGTGGTCCGTGGGTGTGTACAAATGTATGTGCTCTTATACTTGTTCTGATACACTTCAAGTTCATTTCTATCCCGTGAGTGTGTAGTGTAGTGTAGTATAGTATAGTATAGTATAGTATGTCCAATTTTCGACTTCTTACAACCCTATAGTACAGTATTGCTGTGCCAACTAACACAAGAGGGCAGATATTATAGTCTATTTAAGGAACTACTAGCACTACTACATAAATGCTACTATCTCCAAGTAAGAATACTTAAAATGTGTACTAATGTAATACTGCAAATATATGTAATACTGACTGTAAGTTTTCAAGTGAGTTCATTGCAGTTTATCATATGCGAATATTATAGCTTCTTCTAGATTTTTGAGTAATTTAATATTGAGATTTGAAAAAAATGTTGGAGAATATAGATTTTTCATTTTACTGTTCATTTGAGTCACTTAACTTTCACCGCAGCTAAAATGTCAACCTTTCTGTTCATTTTGCAGCTGCCTAAAGAATTATCTCCATGGTTTTCATCGCTCACATCTTTCTAAAGCCAGTGTCAGTGTCAGCACATGTGACAGAACAACAAAAGCCCCGAACAGACAGGCCGCAGACAAACTAGAATTGATGTCTTCCACTGCAGCGCTCGGTGACGTGAGCTCCAAAACACGCCGGGTTCCCTTTGGCCAGGTTAATCAACACAAGGCTTTCTTCCTGTGTACGCATATATGCATGCGTGTGTCCCCTCTCTATGTGTGAACCCATTGCTCATTCATAATATGTCATTTTCCCTCCACCCCTGATTGTATTTGCCGTACATTGGCTGTATGCGAGAGGTGCCTATAGTCCTCCACCCGGCACTACATAAATAAACAGCAACAGTCCATAATCCATCATCCCGGTGCAGTGGGAGCGTGCCCAGTACTAACATGGCTTCTGTTTTCTATCTATGGACAGAGAATGGGAGTCTGTATGAGAGCTTGGATGGGTAGCACCAGTGTTATAATGAAACATAAACTGACTTAAATAGATTATACCAATGAGCTTCCTCTTCCTTTCCTGTCTCGTGAACATAACGCAGTCCACTATTTTTATTACTTGAGTCAGGAGCAACTGTTTATTCGTTCAATAAAGGGAATATATTTTGCCAAGCACTCATAATTTAAAGTTAAAAATGAGCTGCTGACAAACTCGAGGCAGATTCCTTAGAGTGGCCAGTGCAGTGGGAAAGAAAGCTGTGATTAACCACGCTTGTTTCCTGCTTTAACAATTAATGCTGCTGCAGTGGACAACCTACAAGCAGTGTAGAGCCACCAGGTGTGTGTTCTCTGTTTAAAAAGTAGCATATATTTTTATAACCCTGTTCACATAATTCCATTCATGCGCAGACCTCGATTCTGAAAGAATAATGTAAAATGTGACTTATTACAATGGATTGAAATAACAAATATTTACCAAAAACATTAACAAAAAGCATTTAATACATCTAACATACAATTGTACAGCAGCCCGGGATGGAGGGATTGAAATATGCCTTTTGCCCTCGTAACAATTACTGATCACATTCATACAAAGTTAAAGTGGGTGAAGTACCTGGCCAAAAGAAACGACGGCAGCATGCACTGGTCAAACTGGAATAAGCTCTCAACCATCAGGTTTATGGGTAACTACCACTGCACCACTGTCATACCATTGTTCAAAGCATCATTGTTCAAAGATTAGACAAAATAGGAATATCCTGTTTTCACATAGTACATGGATTAATATGAACTCTTTGCAGAATGCGTTCAGTAGAAGTTATTATAATACAATCTAAAAGCTATCAGCAAAAGTTTATTCTCATAAACTTCTCATTTTTAGACTTAAACCATTCATCGTGCCAGATTTACATGCACTGACCTCATTTTAATGTACTTTCATCCAACTTTCCTGCTGCTTTCCTTCCTTCTTTCCTGCTTTTGGTCACACTATCCCAACAGCACAAATCCAAAAAGTAACAATACTTTGTACCATTGTACGCTGCATAATGCCCTTTACAGTCTCCTCATTCACTGCACGAGTCTTTATTTACAAAACCCTGTAGGGAAACGCAATGCCACGCTCTGATCACACACCAACCCACTGCTTGTAATTACCCAAGGCCTGCTATCCAATCTGTCACTGCCCGAACTCATTTGTTAGTGTGCATGTACAGTGATTAAAGAAACTCCAGTGCAAAAAAATAGGGCCTTTACCTACATACAGTACCTATGCCCCCCTTCTCCCCCCTCCATGCTTCACATTTAGGGAAATTTTAGGCCCGGCTTGCACAGATCGCCAACATCGCTCAAGCATCCGAAGCACTACAAGCGAGTTATAATAATTAAAGACATACAGCATTTCAGGGCTTCATTAATCATGGTTTATATAGACTTTGAAGCCCTAATAGAAAACAGCCTGCCTCTCTGGGTTTATTGTGTCTCTACAAATTGCGGGGCTGCAGCGTCCGCCAGGAATGCCCCCTCCTCTACCTTTATTTGACCGGCTACAACAGGATGTGGTGATGGAAAACACATCGAGAGATAAGATTTGGTGAAAAGCAATAAGGCGAGTGATGGTTACGGCGGGGTCAAAGGTCAAGGTTGTTTATAAAGAGGTGGAGTGGGTTTAATCAGAGCAAACTGGGTAGATGATAGGGATGGACCATTCAGAGGTGTGTCTTGGTTTAAGTTCAAACTTGATTTTGATGATAAGAAAAGGATCAATTTTAATTTCAGTTCCACAATGAGAAAACTCTTTCCTATATAACAGAATTTTCAGCACACAATAAGTGAATTTAATACTAGTTCTAATATAGAAAAGATAAAGGTCCAACTGTGTCCCTGTTATACATTATATATTATTTGTTAATTATTGAAAGATGATTTGATGGTTGAATTGATAGCGTCGGTATCAATTTGAAAACATACAGTATGTTGTGTATTATGTAGGCTGACCAATTATTTGTACCATGCTTTTATTGCTGTGGAGTGACTGACGATGACAGGAATTTCAGATGCAAACAGCGTGGATGTTTTTAATCCAAATATGTTTCTGATGTTTAGTGCTGTAAACCAGATGCCCTGCACAGCACTCTGGTTGGAGGAAGTTTTAAAAAAATTAACTTGTTTGATCAATTAAGGACATGTGTGTCTTTTCACAATAAAATGTGTTTTGGCAGACTTGGATACCATTATTCTGAACCTAATAAAATTAAAGGAAGAGGGACAGTCTAAATACCATATGGATACTATTGTGAATTTTGGGAGTGCTTGTTAATAGATCATCTGGATGAGGAAATCAGGAAATTTGGCATTATTGTGTATTCATCTACTAGACGGAATACCATCAATCACAGTCCAAAGTATGTACTCTAACTGCATTGCTGCAACCCATTTCCTCTCCAGTGCAAGCTTCTATTTAAATTTGCATTTTATGGAGTGTGTCAGACACAGTCCAACCGACAGATGAAAGTTAAAGTAGTCTCTAGAAATAAACAAGTCTAAAAGTTGGCTAAATTAAAGTAAGAAGAATGTGCATATTTAAAAGCGAAGCCTAATCCTTGCGGTTTGTCAGCATGCCTCCCAGGTGAGCTCACAACTCCCCAAGTGCAGACCAAGCAACTGCATCCTCAGCTGGACCCTCTCAATATTTTGTGGTAGTCAAAACAAAATTAGTGCAGGTTTGTTGTTCTTCGTTAGCTCATTCGTGACCTCTGCCTTCAACATTTATTGAGCGAGAGGCACTGTTTATTTGCCACCTCAAAGCTACTCAATACTGGGATTAAGGAGTCAGGAGCAGTAGCAGATATTTGACTTCTTGTGAGCTCTTTAAGGTGAGTTTTTGGAGCTTTACTCTCTATATTGGTTAGCAAAAGTCAGTAGTTAATTTGATTTATTTTTTTTAATGGGAAGGTTTTCAATAAAATATTTTCTGTATTAATATCTTATACCTACATCTAGATGCATTGGAATAGTTGTGAACCTAGGCGAACATTTATGATTAGTGCAGTGTTGCCATCTAGTGGTGATTAATTGTAGTGCATTGCATTTGACTTTACTGCAACATTCGTCAGACATACCAGAATGTATTATATTACACAAGAAATTGTCACTTTTGCTTGTTTTAATTAAATAACTTAAAACAGTTTAAATAAGTAAGTACATTGAAAGTTGCATATCATACTTATATGTTAGTTTGGTCATACAGTTCATACAGTCATACAGTTTGTCATTGATTTAGCTTTCTTCTGAATACATACAATATATAAATGACTATAAATATTTATAAAGTGCTATACATTTTTAAGGCTGTAAAAATGTGTTCATCCTCCTCATATTATTGTTCTCTTTACTTGGCCCGTCCACTTCATCTGCCTCCTGTAGCTTCACCCTGGGGTGCAGCAGGACATAGTAGAAAACGAGGCAAAATAATCCCAGAAAAACACCTCCCAAAATTAAAAGATCCACCACCAACAAGGTACTTGCATCAAATTCTGGCATCAGAATAGACAACAGTATTGGTGAGGAAACATTTATACAGCAGAATACACTGTAGTAAATACTCATAGGTATTTTAGTGTCTTGCCCTTTAACATTGAAAAAGGTGAACGTGAGAATGACTCCAACCACAGCCCTGTACAGAATTTCCAGTCCTCGGCAAGAACAGAAGTTGGTCTGAAGAATATTTGTCCATGTTAGCATTATGACCCACACAACAGAGAGCACGACTGTGGTATAGGCACTCATTATTAAGTATAGACTGTAGCTTAGTATAAGGCTGGTGATGGTGCAGAGTTTATAAAGGAGGTAAACAGCAGTGGGGAGGCCAGAGGGCATCTCGCTAATATGAGGGAGTGACCTGCGTAGACATCGCCGATAATCCACCAGGGACCAAGCAATGCTGAGGAAGGAGAAGGCAATGGACAAATCTGAAAAAGACACATAAGACACATAACTTAAACATTCACTTTTAATTCACTCTTATGTAAAAACTAGAAGTCATACATTATGTTCTCTTCATTTCATTGCGTAAATTCCCTTACAAAGCACTTATCTATCAACCCTTTGATGATAATAGCTGTGCTGCAAATGTCATATTTCAATATGTTCCATTCCCCACTGACAGCAGGAGATAACACAACTGTAAGCAGGGGTGGAAACTACGTAATTTCAAATAGTCATGTTAATTTAGTAGATTTTTGGGTTTGTTTAAAGCCATACATGTACTTGTAATTGAAAATATTTCTAGCACTGTAATAGTAATGACTACATTGAAAATCATACGAGTTACTGAGTACAGTACAAAGTCCCAGTCATTCCAATGCACAGCCATTTCTCTCTTGTCTTCTCCTTATATGCTGATTGCAATTTAAAATAGCTTCAGCTTTAAACTGTTTAATAAATCAAGTGTGAACTAAAATTGTACAGTTACTGATACTTTTCATCTTTAGTTCTAATTTGGCAGCCCTACTTGTACTTGTAATTGAGTACTAATTTAGTCAAAACATCACTTTCTATCACTAACTGTTAGGACACGTGAGATGAATAAAACTTGTAAATGTGGTTAGTAAATGTGGGTGATTTAAATGCATCACTAGAGCTGTTTAGAGAGCATGTGAAAGTCAGGAAATTACAGAAGACATGATATCATTTTCACATGCTTTATGTTATTGCTATGCCTAAAAAGCTCCACATTGTTCCATTAAACTTATCTGTAGAACCAAGCAGGTGACGCTGTAGTTACATGTCAGATCTGTGGGGATCTGTGCACCCTCCTCCAGAAAAGTTACATTGTGCATCCTTATATCGACATATACTGCTCATAAAAATTAAAGGAACATTCTGAAAACACATCAGATCTCAATGTGAAAAAAGCAGGACAAACTTGGACAGGGCAATGTCTTAGGAACAACAGGATGCCACCTCTTTTAATGGAAATTACATTTTCAGCCTACAGAGGTCTTAACTTTATACACGCCCTGAAAATCTAAGTGAAATAATGATGTGGCAGACTAGTCCATTTTGCCAGAATTTAATTTCTGCAACTCAAAATGGTTCTCAATCTACTGTGTGGCCCCCACGTGCTTATATGCATGTTTGATGTGTAGCATTCTCCTAATGAAGCAATGAATGGTGTCTTATGGGATGTCCTCCCATATCTGTGCAAGGACATCACTGAGCTCCTGTAGAGTCTGAGGAGCAACCTGGCGGCATCAGATGGACCCAAACATAGTGTCCTAGAGGTGTTCTATTGGATTTAAGTCAGGTGATTGCGAGGGCCATTCAATTGTATCAATTCGTTCATCTTCCATGTACTGCCTGCGTACTCTTGCCCGAGGAGGCTGGACATTGACATGCATTAGGAGGAACCATGGACATACTGCACCAGCACAGGGTCTGACAGTAGGTTCAATGATTTCATCCCAATACCTAACGGCAGTGAGACTGGTGTTTTCTAGCTGGTAGAGATGTGTGTGTTATGTGTTATGGAGGGACACACAGACCATCACTGACCCACCACCAAACCGCTCATGCTGAACCATGCTACAGGCAGCATAGCATTCTCCTTGTCTTCTCCAGACTCTTTCACGTCTATCACAGGTGCTCAGGGTGAACCGGCTCTCATCTGTGAGATGAGGGCACCAATGGTGGACCAATTCTGGTGTCATGTAGCGAATGCCAATGGAGCTCCACTGTGCTGGGCGGTGAGCGCAGGGTCACTACATTGTGTACTATCTACCTATCTATATAGTAGTGATAATCACTCTAGCCAAAGCCAGCACTAGTGGAAAACCAGCCAAAAAAGAGGGAGAATCTAGAAATGACAAACTTACACTTCAATACTGAGGCTTCCCTGTGGCCAAGCAGCACAATGTAGACTTGCAAGAGGAGCTGGGGGGCACTCTCCAGAAATGTTTCAAACAACTTGAGCATGCTCAGATCAGTAGCCATGCAAAATAGATTGTGGTGCTTCTGCCTGTTTTCTTCCTTTGTGAGGGGAAGCGTTGTGTTCCATAGCACATCAAAGCCTTTCTTCAGCAGCTGGTAATACCTAACAACAAGGCAAACACAACAAAACAATTATTAATCATATCCATTCATATTTAAGAGTACACAGTAACCCATAGCTAGTTAC